ATATTATATAAATATATATATAGTTATATTGTGTAATATGATAAATAGCGATAAGTTTAATACGCGATTTTTTAGCAAATTCGTTGTTCAATCGAATAGCATGCAAAGTATGTCAAATGCGAAGTTATGAAGTCGTCCATTCGACAAAAGGATTGTATTGCAAATATGTTTCTCTGGTTTTAACACGAAGCTTTTAGTTAACATCATCGTTAACATTTGAATTTACGCCCTTATTGACGTTTCGCTATATTAAACAGCGCTAATTAACCAATAGTTTTTAATATGATCCTTTGACAGTTTCATTCCTTGTGTTCAGGATCTGGCTTCGTCTTCGGTTCCATGGATGAAGGGCACGGATGATGAGGATTTGTTTGATTTCTTGGTACCAATAAAACATTCCCATCAGCGGATTGCTGAAGACTATATTCGTATGGATGGTATTGATTACCATCGGGATCTCGAAGAGACTGAAACATTATAATTATCTATTTAATATTGTACTTATTGATAATTACAAATGATCTTATCACAATGAAATTCATTTCTCGGATTATTTCTATATTATTGGATATTAATAAAAATATATACGTTAAATATAATATAATATAAATAATATTTGAATAAAAAGATAATATTCAGATAAAATAAGATAGGAAAAATAAGTAGACATTATCGCATATTAATAATTCTCTCAGCTGACCTGGAATACGTGGCGATAAAGTTGACTGAACTTGTCTTTAACGCGTTGTCTTTCGAGAAGCATAAAATCATGTTCTCGAATGAGTCTCAATTTGCGATCGCGCATCTCTTTAACTTCGTCGGCAAGACTGATAATTTGATCGAGTTTTCGTTTTCGACAATTCTGCGCTGCCACCTTATTTTTGCCTCGCCTTCTGATATCACGTATCAAAGATAACTGTGCTTCACTTAAGTCGTATTTGCTAAGGCGCTCATTAAATTCGTCCATAGGTAAATTAATAATGTCGTTCACTGGAATTGGTACGTTTAACGCTCTTGCACGTTTCTCGTCTCGCGTCAAATGTTCGTCGCTCTCGTTTTTCCGTACTAAATTTTTCCCAACAAAAAAGTCATCGGATAAAAATTAATTATAATAATGAAATTTAATCACATACGTTAAATAATCATTACGAGACTTATGAAATATTGTAGTAGTACCTTTCTTATCACGAGAAAGGGGACGTTGAAGAGATCCTGAACTTTCAGCGGGTAGGTGATAAGTATGATTATGATGAACGTGCTCAATTGCTGATCGCCCTAAAATAATATTAATATTGTTAATCAGTGATATCATTAACAACATTTTCATAATCTACTTGTTAGATCTCATTAGTTAAAAAAAAAGAAAAAATAAAAAACAGTAAAAATTATTACCAGATTGATGGCGAGTGAAGTCAACACTGCAACTATATTTAATTTCAGATTGTGGCCCGGCTGCACCTTCTATTGGTCCGGAATAAGCATTACCCGGTGCCCCAGCACCGACCGTATGCGAATCGTATTCATATTTCATAGGAGTGGTAGGATGTGCCGTTCCTCCTAAAGGTGATCCTAGAAAAAATATTTTAATTTAAATAAAAAAAAACATACAATTAAACAGATTTAAGATCATTTTCATTTAAATATTATTTCTTGAATGTATCAGCGATTTACGCGGGGGGGGGGGAAAAGAAAACAAGATACTGATCAAGTAGAGACGTCAAAGATTTTATGCAACGCGATAAGATAATTGGAAAAAAAAAAAAATGTTATTTTGTTAAATCATTTCATTGGAAGATAATTTCCAAGACTTATTATACATTCGAATTATTATGTTTAGCTAAATATGACAATATTTTTTACGAACCGGTGCCTTGCTCTTGGAAATATCGTTTGGCAAACATTTGATGTTTTTTCTGTGCAACCGGTGGTACAGTCCTTTCCGGTTGACATCTTGGAGAACCTGCGTTTCTTCCAGAAACGGAGTAACTGCAGTCGTAAGGCATTCGGTACTTACTAAAAAAAAAATTACAAAAAAAAAAAAAACGAATAAGAAAAATATCAAAACTCATATATATATATATATATATATATATTATACAGGAATCATAGAAATAATTTGCTCATTAGTGGATGTATATTACGTATAAACAACATCCTATATAAAAACTTGTTCTTCTGAAAAAGGAAGATCAACCTGAATGAAATTTGTCAATGTACCTAGCATAATCCATGGTGTAATGTGAGTCAGCTTGCGTGTGACTGGAATTCGAGCCAGTTTCCATCCACTCCCCATCTGAGAGGGATGGCACGCGTTCACTGCCCATACTACTGACGGCACTATCACTAGAAGCATCCATTCTCTCATCTGTGACAGCAGGTAAACTCGTTACACTTGTCAGGGCCGTCGTTGTTGACGTGGTACCACCAGCTGTTTGGACTCCCGGTAAAGCAGCTGCTCCGGTTGGCCCGGATGCATTGTTGCTACCATTGTCCAGCATACGCATGGTGTACATGCCTGAAATAAAGACAAATACCAAATTTCTTACAAATTGTCTTATTTGTCTCTTTCTCGTATTATTAAATATCAAACATTACAACAACAACAACAAAACGTTCAAAACTTTCGTTATCATAACGCAACGAATTGAGAAAGGATGATGAAACACGTAAGAACTCTTACAAAGTCTCGTTAAATATCATATCTTAAATTATGATCGAGAAATTAGATTTTCCATTCGTTGCAGGAAGCAATCATTTAAATTTCTTTTTCAAATGCAGCTAAAATGAACCATCTGAGAATATATATATATATATAAGTATAGGTACTGACATCAACTAGAATGACTTTTTTGCAATCGTGACATTTCCTACAACCGGTTCTTCCGTACGATGTCGAGAAAGAGAGAATCCTTCTACTAGTAAATTCATGTTACATGATCAGCAATGACACACTAGGAATAACATGCTTTGCGAAATACGCTTATCAAATTCGATACTGATATTAGAAACAGCGTCTTTATAATATTAGAAAACGAGATTATTCTGCGTATTGTCAATGGTATATTTATTCTCGTGCAGGAATATATTAGCCTTATCAATTGATTATACAAAGAGATAAATAACTGGAAAGACTCAAAGTCTGCCAATACAGATTAATATATATATATATATATATATATATCATATCATATCAATCGTATTAAAAAATATATTTCTTAATGTCGGTCATTTGGTATTGTGCAAGAAATTATTGACAAACTATGTACGACGAAGTAAACGTTTTTTTTTACTTGTATTTACGCTTCAAGACCTATCATCCCTCCCCCTACCCCCGATTCATTTATTTCTTTCATTTTTAATAACAGTCAAATTGATCTCTTTCGGATAATAATAGTTCTATTCGGACTTTAAGCGTTAATTCCACATAATGCGATTGAGAATCTTTGATGATAATCGTCAATAAACAACGAACGCATGCTGATACGAATTTTTAAGAAGCACGTACATATTGTGAACGTATCATGATCAAATCACAATCATCATTAGATATATATGTATATATATAAAATCATTTTGAGTTTCAATAATCGATTATCGAGTTTTAAAATTCGTTATTTTCCACCGTTTTCTATAAATTAAATAATTTAGCTAAAATTATAATGAATAGTGTAATTATTATAAGATTTCAACACATGTAATAATATGGATTATTCAATTTTACAAACTTCCCATACTAATCTTATTTTATTAATGACTGTTTCATAATCATCGCTAAATACCAATTAAATTACATAACTTAATAAGATAAAATATATTATATTTCCCTAAGTGGAGAAAGAAAGAAAGAAAGAAAGAAAGAAAGAAACGCGATAATTGTGTTTTTCATTTCAAATCGTCATTTAAAGGATAAAATCTCAATTAATTTAATCAACGTCCGTCAAACGATCATCATATATGTATTTCTACTTTGAAATAAATCTCATCAAACATTAATCGTAAAAAGAAAAGAAAAATTGACGTCTTCTTTAATTAAAGTTGACGTTGTTGGTAAAATGAAAAAAAAAAGAAAAAAAAAAAAATAAAGTAAAGAAAAGAAAAGACAAAAGAAAATAACAAAAGCGTTTACGTTCATTAACCTTTTTCATTGAACACGAAGAGATAGGTAGAAAAGAAAAGAAAAAGAAAACTAAAATAAACGACTGTATTAATAAATTAACTCTCACCTTGGATACCAAGTAGTGTTTTAAAAACAAGTAAACGGGATACGATCGCAGTATACTAACACGAACGCATGACTTGACTTAAGGATAAATAGTCCGTTAGAAATGCAAATTCGTAGGCGCGATCGATAAGAATCGATTATACGTTCCGCTTCAACGTGGATTATAATTAACCATTAAACATCGTTATTTATAAGATCTTTCAAAGGCGGCTTGGCTTCTTCGAGAAAATTTCGATCTAAGCTCGTGACAATATGCAAATTGATTTGTCTAAATTTATGATGACTTGGCATGGTTCTGATTGCTGCTGCTGCTGTTGCTGCTGATATCTCTCAACGATAAAAACCCACGATAATTCATTTTATCAATTGATCATTTAAAACAAGCCGAATTTAATAAATATCATGTACGGGTCATATATGAAATACGGTTAATCTGATATAATAACATTATATAAGTTCTTTTTTTTTATTTTTTATTTACATAAGTACATGTTACACAATCGATATGCATTTAAACAAAACAAAAAAAAAAGAAGCTTTCAAAGCTAACGATAATAAAAACAATGTTATCATCGTGTTGTCTCGATGTCTATTATATATCGTAATAATATGTTCAATGATTTTGATCACGTTCAAGGAATATTCTTCTAATCATATATTTTTATTATATTTGCAAATTAATTATCGCTTTTGGATATATTACATTGTACAATCGAAAGGGAGAGGGAAGAGAAATGATCGAGGAAAACTATTTAAAATCGATTAAAATGAAGATTCAATTATGTGATCAAAAGATTAAGATCATGTTTGTGAAGAAGCATTTTAAAACGTATTTATATGTGTTTGTACGTATATATATTTGTATAACACTGTGTTACAGATTTGACGACGATAAAGAAGAACCTGTGTGTGTGTGTGTGTGTGTGTATGTGTGTGGTGAGTTCGCTATCAATCGGTCGGACAAATTGAGTTACATGTGGGTCGATGGCATATCGGACACGTGATGTGACTTCGTATACGTATAACGCGATTAAATGAGTCTCTCTCTCTCTCTCTCTCTCTCTCGTTTGCTCACATACACTTATAGATATTCTAACATAAGTAAAAAAGTGTAAAGTTAGTAAGTAAGTAAGTAATCAAGTGAATAGTACACACATGTGTTTTCCGCTTCGTACCAGACGATCATTGGACGCCATTCATATTTTTTCTTGGCTTTTGATCGTATGTCAGGGTCGATAGGTGATTATATGTATGCATATATATGCATACATTCACGCGTATGTATATATATATAATTATTATATTATTAATATATTTTAATTTAAATATATGCACGCGATTGAAATATGAAAATGAAGAATAAATGTTTATACTATGATTTTTCTTTATTTTTCTTTTTCAAAATTTCCTAATCAAATGAGAGGCCGATCGGACACTCGAATGTGTCATCTCGAGCATAAAAGGAAAAGAAAAAAAAAAAAAGATTAATAACGTAAAAACAAAACGAGAAATTCTATTGGCTAGATCGTTACTCGCGTGATCAATGATAAAGATTAGAAATTTGATCAAAAATATGTCTCGAGAGAGAGAAAGAGAGAGAGAGACTTTAAGGAGGAAAAATGAAACGAGGAAATAAATAAATATAATATATATATATAAAGTAGATCCTCGACTTTCGCACGTAATTGTTAAAATTAGCAAAACACACAACACGTTGTTCCCTTTATGTAAGTTCTTAATGTCATCTGATGGCTAGTCTGATGTCCCCTGAGAGGGGACATCCCATCGCAAAGGATTAAACAGTTGAATCTTTAAAAATGTGCGAAATAGCGAATGATGCGAAAGTCAAAGGTCGTCTGTATATATTAAATCAAATAAATAACACGATAAGTATAGTTTTTGTGTTTGTTTGATCAATTTGAAATTACCTACTTGGTATGTACATAATAACTCCCATGGTCGCCATTCAAGCCCACTCTTCTTCCGAAGATTTCTTTATTTCTTCTGTTCAATTGATCGATACGATCGATACAATTATCCAATTTCTTTTTTTTTTTGTATTGTCTTTATATCAAACAGTTAAATCTTCTTAACTAAATGTTTACAATTTTGACAGTATAATAATGAATACTGTAATGCATATAGAGATGATGCATATTCGAGGCATATAAATGAACAAACGAATGAACGTATAAATAACGCACGTTCGAAATATCTCTTCTTTCCTTCTAGATCACCGATCTCACGTTTAACACCTTCGCTCGGTTAAATGTTCCTTTCTCTGTTTCACAATAACCTTCTTAAGCTTATTATAGACGACAGACACTAGACACACCACAATACGTTTGAATTTAATCGAACGAACAAACGAACGAACGAACGAACGAACGAACGAACAAACGATCAATCAATCGAACCATTCATCGATTTGTTTCTTTTCAATATTGAATACGTATAAAAAAAAAAAAAAAGAAGACGTGTTACACGTTGTGTTGATGTAATACTTTTATAATTTTCTAATAATCAATCTACACAATAGGATCGATCAGAATTATTATACAAAAGTTTTTAATATTGCAATTTAAATCTTGAAATCCTCAAAATTGTTTCTTCTTAAAGTCATCATCCATAAGATACGATTGCAAGAAACACGCCTTTACATCACTACCAACACACAACTGACGACGATTCCGACTAAACGACAGAGTTACAATGATGACAGATAAGGGGAGTCAGAACTACACAGAAATAATAAAAAGAACAAAAACACACACACACATACACACAGATCACACATAGCAAGATGATACCGTAGGAGAATTAATATCAAAATGATTCTTCGAAGTATCGTAGTATGTTATTATTTTTCTCTGTAGATTTTCTTCCATTATTTTGCACGCACTTTTAATTTTTATCACTTTATTATTTTCTCATTCTATTTCTCTCACTTTCCAATAGAATTATACTAAAAGGATGAGGGTGTGTTAATCGTCGATTTCACTTATAATTATTAAACTTTATAAAAAAGAAAAATTGTCTTGCATATATGTATATATATATATATATATATATATATATATATATATATCATGTTAATAAAACGGTACGATCGCTAAGAACGCGTAAACATAACTATTTAAGTATTCGCACGTATCCGCGAGGCTGACCCGACATGGGGCGTCACCACTCGCACAGCGAGAGGCTTGAAAGAACGTGGAGGAGGCTTCGGGTTTTCTCCTCGGCATTGGACGATAGTCGACGAACGGTGGGAGAGCCGATGACGGATCGCATGT